TTTATTTATTTATTTATTTCATTGAAAAGGTTGTAGATACGAGCAGCATTTCCATAATATAATAATAGTCCTCTCGCTAACAAAGCTACGCTTAAGCACCGATCTCCTTAAATCCGACTCTTTACCATTAATTAATTATATTTTGACCATACCCATAAAGATAAAATAGGACAAAGGTCATATTTATCTCCCAATTATCATACAATCCTCAATTAAGTCTCTAAATAAAAGTAATTCTCACATTGGTCCCCACTTATTGAACAATACATAATTAGCCCTCTTATTAAAAACTTTTACCTTGAAATCATAAAGCACAGGGTCTATTTGTCTTTAAACTACACCCACTCTATTTTTTTTTTCTTTTCTAAAATCGAATGGTAGGAGTGTGATTATTTTGGTCGTGTTTGACATACGGGGACCTAATTGATAATACTATCTTGTTTGGGAATCCATTGAGATTCATGTGATAGTTGCAGGAGCAAATATGTCCTTTGCCCATGTAAATAAAAAATAAACACAGATCCAAATCCATCTCTGTCTTTCTTACATGACGTAAAACATTAAAGAAAACAAAAGAGAACTAGGTGACTTACTGTCTCCCTTCGCATCTACTGCACTCTCTCTCGCCTACTCTCTCTTTCTTGCAGTAGATCTTATCATTCTCTTTTCTCCTCTCTTTCTCTTTCTTTTTGACATAAATTTTGTTGCTTTAGAGAGGATAGTATGTGGATGTCGCTGCAGTCATGGAAAACGCTTAGCTAAACAAACACCAGAAAATAAAAAGGAAGGAAAGAAAAGAAATGATGATGAGTAGTAATAATAATAACAATTATAGAAGTACTAATGGGAGTTTGAGAGAATCTTTAGTGGGAGGGAGGAATATTCCGGTGGGATCCCAGTACCACCGCCGTGGTCATAGTTTGACTGGTGGCGGTGGTTTCTCGAAAGATATTAATCGTACGGATGAGAACTTGGATCTCTTCTCCAAAAACCGCCGCAGTCTCTCTGTCGCCTCCTCCGATGAATCATCTGATGGTATGTTTTGGATTTTCTTTATCAGTCCGAAATGCTCTGTGTTTTTTTGTGTTTCTTGCAATTCTTTGATGGAGGTGCTTGAATGAAGAAGAGGATAATTTGGTCATTTTAGCGATGAATGAGAGTTTTGGAAATGAAAATGATGTCTGGTGAGGAATGTATTTAATGAGCATTACATCTATAATCAAAGAAACAGAAAAATAAAAATAAAAAATCTAAACGGTGTCGTTTCTATTGTTAGCATTTCAGCCAGTAAGAAAAGAACTACTATTGCCTTTGTGTGTGTGTGTGTGTGTGTGGGTGTGTTTAGTTTTAATGGATTTAATTCTTTATTCATTGATTTTGAATATACCATTTATGGTAAATTTTGTCTGAGTTTTTTAATTTTAATTTTTATTTTTAATATCCCATTTTGATTTTACCGAGTAATGAGCTGTTGGTTACAGTTTCAGTGAAATTGGGGAGACTTTCAGTTGGATCAGCTAAGCTTGCGAGGAGCGGGATCGATGATCTATTATCATCCATAGAGGGAGGAAAGCATGATTATGATTGGTAAATCTTTGATGCTTTCTGGATTCAGAAACTACATGATTTTTTTTTTTTTAAGATTTTTTTGTTCTTTTTATTTTTGGTCAACATCAGTGATGCTAGCCTTGTGTCTGGTATAAGATTCGTTTCATTTCAGTTTTGGATTCAAAGTTAAAATTTTTCAACAGATTGATATCATTATTGATATGTTTAGGTGTGTTGGGTTGATAGTTCCAGAGGCAACATAGTTTTCTCAAGGATCACATTGTCTTTGGAAGTTGGAAGTCCTTGAACTTTGGATAATACCCCTTTTCTGCATTGATTAAAGATCTTTTTGAGAGAATATAGTACAATTTAGAGAATCTGAAAATATACGAAATGGAATTCTGAGATGGAGTCTATGGATCTCTTAATAGAATTTTGCATTCTAGGCTTTAAGCTATAATGAATTCAAAATGGAAATCCAGACTGCTTTTTTCTGATGCTCCTAAGAGTTGCAGACAACTTTGCATTGCTTATTTCGAATGGTGAGGGATTTTATTGTACAAGATAGAAAAGGAGATCAGGAGAAACTCTCAAAACGGCAGATGGACATGGTTACTTGAATACGAGTCAGAATGTTTCTGTGCAAATGATTTATTTTAGACAAAAAACTTGACATTTTTAATATGAGTTGAAGCTCTAACCAAAACATTGTCTCATTGTATATTTGCTCATTTACACTTGACTGACAAGGATTTAGCAAATAATTTAAGCTTGAAATTATAGCAGTTAAATGTTCATAGTGTTGAATGAACATTTGTAGACTAAATTGGTTACTTTTGTATCAAAATGATTACTTTTGCAAACCAAGAAACTAGCATTCGTACACCATCACCCATACTTAGTTCTTTTTATGTCATTAGGCTTCTTACTCCCCCTGGAACTCCTCTTTTTCCTTCACTGGAAGGGAGTGAATCACAACCAACTACAGTGGCTCCACGAAGCAGATCTTTGGCTAGATCAGCTTCTACTACCAAGGCGTCTTCTAGGGTATGCTTTCCTTCTTTTCTTTCTTTAAGCTATTCACTGTCAGTCTTTGCCCCAATTTTAGATCATTTCATGCCTGTTGAATTAGCCTCTTTTGGTTGAGCAAGAATATCTTTTTTATTTTGGAGGGAATTTATTGTGATATTGGAATTACACAAGATCAGCTATCAAAATTTAAGCCTAATACTCACTCTCACTCTCTCTCTCTCTCTCATTCTCGCTTTCAGCTTTCAGTTTCACAATCAGAGAGCTACCATTCCTCAAGACCAACTAGAAGCAGTTCAGTGACACGACCTTCTATATCTTCTTCACAATACAGTACCTATTCTTCAAATAGGTCCTCTTCAATCCTAAATACAAGCTCAGCCTCTGTCTCATCTTATACTAGACCATCCTCACCAATAACTCGCTCGCCATCTATAGCAAGACCTTCCACACCATCAGCTCGCCCAACACCATCACGTTCCTCAACTCCATCTAGAGTTCGTCCAGCCCCTACCAGCTCGTCAATTGACAAGACTCGACCCTCTCAAAACTTGAGGCCCTCCACTCCAAGTTCTAGGGGGCAAATTCCTGCAAACTTGAGTACAGCTCCCACTCGATCAAATTCACGTCCATCAACTCCTACACGTCGGAACCCAGCACCTTCCTCATCCACTACCTCAAGTCCTTCAGCTTCTGCTGGACGTGTTCTCTCAAATGGCCGCATTCCTGGACCAGCATCTCGACCAAGTTCCCCAAGCCCTCGAGTCCGGCCATCACAACAGCCAGTTATTCCTCCTGATTTTCCTCTTGATACACCTCCAAACCTCAGAACAACTTTGCCGGACAGGCCTCTTTCTGCAGGTAGGTCACGGCCAGGTGTTTCTTCAACTATGAAGGGGAACCCAGAAACCATGGGCTCTGTGAATGCACCAAGAAGACATTCATCTCCAATTGTCACAAGGGGAAGACTCGCAGAGCCATCTGGAAAGGGCCGTGTGCATATTAATGGGCATGTTGCTGATGCACATGAGCCACGAAAGGTCTCACATGTGTCAGAATTAGGAATGAGAAAACCTGTGAAGTCATCATCAACTGCCTCAGAGAGCACTGGGTTTGGGAGGACCATATCTAAAAAGTCTCTGGATATGGCCATCAGGCATATGGTATGTGTACTCTTTCCCTTCCATGTTGTGATAAACTAGCTTTCTAGATTGTGTTGCATGCACATACATGCATTTGAATGAGTTGGGTACAGACATTTATCAACTTTCAAATATTCCTTTTCTTGAAAATTTTGACTGCAGCTTGAAAACCTATTTTTGTGGAGTTGATAATCTGCTAGAATGGCTTCCTGATGAGCTGGATGCTAATGTCTGATGCGTTCATTTTTGTCAATGTTGATTATAAGTGCTAACCTCGATGCATCACACAATGCAATGCCACTAACATCCATACTAGAACCTAAACAATAATGATGCTGTTTAATAATTGGCAGCCATTGAACTAGCAACTTGATCTTTTTACATTTTTGTTCCCTATTTGGTGATTCAAATTTCATACCTTGAAAATTTTGAGGTGTGACTGGGTTGATTTCCCTATTCTTGTGACCAAGAGCTTGGCTAATGATGGCACTGTCAATTATGTTAGGTGACATAGGCAGAAACAGATGTTTCTATGTCCTCAATAAGAGATTTTCATGTTGGGTTCCTGTTGCATAAAACTTTTTTTTCTGCCTTCATGAGATAGTTCTACCTTAGAAAATAATCCTAACAGTAAATCAACTTACTGATATAGGACATAAGAAATGGCACAGGAAGCAGTCGATCACTTTCAAGCACCACCCTCTTCCCTCAGAGCATTAGATCTTCCACTCCCAAAACCCAATCTGTCCGTTCTTGGAGTGCTCCAGAATCCATCAACAATGGAAATTTACAAAATGGAGATGTTCTGGATAATGAAAACCACTTTAGCAGGGCTGCAGAAATCGGGCGTGAAGCAATTGATGGACGATACTCTGCAAAATTGAGTGAAGTTGACATCTATGAAAGCTCTCGATATGATGCAATATTACTCAAAGAGGATTTGAAGAACACAAACTGGCTGCACAGTATTGACGATAAATCGGATCAAGGGCCCGTCTTTGATAATGGATTTGAGTCTTTACCCGAACCTTTCGGCCTATTATAACATCTAAGAAAAAGGTGATTTTTTTCGAAATTATATTCTTTTCCTTTTTAATTTATCTTCTTACTTGGAATGAATGGATTATGTAAACTTTTAATACTAAGAACTGATAAAGTGAAGAGGCAGTGTATTTTCTGCAATGAAATGAAGTTCAGTGTTGGAATTTCTGTTTACAGTATTTGCCCTGGCTTGTGAATGCTTAAAACCCTATATGGCTTGCATTGTTCTGTCTGCATCAGCTACCATCCATCTTCTTTCTTTTCTCTTAAATTGCAAGTATGGTTATTGTTTCAATAACCAAAAAAAAAAAAAAAAATTACAAAAAGCCAAGTAAGACAGCCATAGTCCAAGATGTCTACACCCAAAGCTGCTGGTCTTTTTGTCCGGTGCAAAATCCCCCACATCTGAACCGGAATGTCTATATCCACATTCAACGGGCGAACCGCAAACGAGTATGAACTCTGGAAAATCCTTTCGCTCCGATAAATAGGATGGCCGAGCATAATCTGTGTACTGCAATGTTGTTCAAAGGTTTATTAAATATAACTACGTTAATTCTGTTTATATTGAATAAAAATCATTTAATTATAATTTATTACCTTGAAGGAGAATACTTTGCTGCCAAGTTTTTCAAAATTCCGAAATTCCAAAGGCAGAACTTTATAGAAGATGCTAGTGGTTAATCTATAATTTAGAACGGTTAATATAACAACTAACCTCACAAACCAAAGTAGTTTAATTCATCAATTTGCTTGCTGAAAGTCTTTGCTGATCAAACCCATTAATTACGTCCCTTTGTCATTACTTGAATATTTGCTTGCCGGAGGTAAATAGAGTTTCTGGTGACAGCATGCCAAATTCGGACACCACAATAAAATCTTAAAAACATTTGTCACTGCTACAACTTTACGAAACAATCTATTGAACGAGAACATGAACACTGTTGTTCATTGTTTTCGGCGTGACAGAGATAATAAAAACAAAGAACACCCTGAGCTGAGCATCATGAAATACCAATCCACATACATGCAAAAGCAGCACCAACCCTTTTGTGTGGTAAATTACCAACACTATAACTGAAGCATCGATCGAAGGAATCAGGACCTAAAGTTTGCATTTTTAACCATAGCACAGACCTTCCTAGTATAATTTTCCGAAGGAAGAAGACTAGTGACACAAATTGAAACATAGAATGCTCTATATATATATGAAACAAAGTGAAAAAAGGCAATTAAGTTTCTCATGATGTTTTCTATGGATACTTATTACCATGACTAAATTTCTAGAAATTTAGTTATATATAAACTTGACTATTTAACCCCATGTAAAATGTTCCGGGTTGCGTAATCTGTACTCGAGGGCGTGGATCTAGTTGAGCAGACCACACAAGTCTTCCACTGAACCGTGTGACAACAGTTACTACAGCAGGCCCGTAAATTCCAATGAACAAGAGATCATTGGCTATTGTTGGAGTTGATCTCGACAGGGTTACTTTCACTCCGATTCCAATGCCATTTAGTCCAGTTAGCTGACTCAGGTTCTGCTTCCACATTAAAACACCATTGAATGCATTAATTGCATACAAATATCCACTCCAAGATGGGAAATATACTCCGTTGGCTACGGCTGGAGTTGCAGATATGTCTTTACCACCAAAGAATGCCCATTTTAACAGAAAATTTCTAATCGTCAATCGATTGATTAGCACCTCTCTGTTCGCACCTCTTACATTGCTCATATCAGCTCCATGGTTCAGCCACTTAAATCGCATGCCTGAAATTTTAACGTACTTGCAAAAAGATAAATGGTAGCAATAATAAATTAGCTTCATTAGTACTAAGAATTGAATGGAGTGGAAAGGATATTAGCACTTACAATTGCAACAGCATCATCCATCAAAGAAAAGAGGCATAGAGTGACGAGGAAGCCAATGCTACTAAGATATTTTCTGGTCTCAAGACATGCTATTTTAGATGAAGTCGGTGATTCAATAAGGGAGAAAATGTAAGCTAGTCCAAATGTAAAAGAAAAAGTAGTATTAACAAAATGAGTTCTTACCTTTTTTTAAGGGTGTGCCGAACAATATCAACTTTGCAATAGATACACTGTGACCAGACTATATACCTGTCCCATTGCAATCTATAACTTTGGCTTAACACTTTTGGTTAGAATACCTAACAACTTTTTTTATTACTTCCGTTACTGTCAGCTAGATAAACAAATATACGATATGGCCTTAGCATCCAAAGTGAGTTAGATACATTTGTTGCTGGAAATTTTAGCCCTTAAAGTGACTCGAATTCAGCTCCTTATCGGGGAAGAATAGTCACATGGTTCACATCATTCCCAAGCTCTTCCAAAAAGGTCCAAATCAGCTGAAGTGATCATTTTCATATCACTTTTCTGATCCTAACTAGGCCTTTTTGAAACATTTCAATGATATCTTCTGTCAGCTAGGATACATCTTCTGAAACTTGGAGCAAGGATTCCTTGTGAAGCTTCTGATTAATTAAATGGCCCTCAAACAATCAGAACCATGTTGACCATCTATTTCAGCATCCATTAGATCTGAGTACAATTTAGTAGACAAGAACTACTTTTTCGCCACCAACTTTCCTTGCTTTCAGCAAAATTCTGTTTTGCGCACTGCAAACGAGCTTCTACTATGACTCAGCAATGACCTATGCATAATCTCCTTCAATCTCATATATTACTATCTGCCGAGATTAGCCAATAGCATTTAGTACTGTTGTCTAGCATTCATGGTTGTGATCATGAGTGCCCATGTTTTTGTACTCATATCAAGGAAACTATCAGGCTGGCATGAGGTTGTACTGGGAAATTGCTGCTGCATGCTTTGTGTATATGAATTACATGAGAAACATTACATGAATGAGAAATATTGGATAGAAAGAAGAAATGTGACAGATTGACTTCAAAATCAGGTTAAAAAAAAAATGTTAACCAAGGTCAAATGACACCCAGAGACAGACTTCCCCAAATACAATCAGGGAAACTTGAGGGGACAGCTGACGTGCTCTTCGTTTCTTTGTTACACAATACAGAACATTGGCCTATTATATGGCGAAGGGTTTCTTCATTTATTGTGAAGAAGTAGGGGACCAAACCATTAAAGATATGATATAACTGAACCTGGTCACAATTTGGACTGGATGAATGCTGCTTAGGAAAATGAGAGGTCATAAATTTCTTACAGCTTCTTGTATATACCCTGACATTTATCTTTTCAACTTTATTTGATGTTACAACAGATGGAACTTTTGCAAGAAATTCTTCATGATCAATTGAAAAGGAAATTAAAGGTTGGACGGACATCAGAATGGGAAAATGGAAGTTATTCTCATCTTCCATGTTGCCTACAGTTCCGTCCAGATTCATACTAAGACAGCAGCAAGAAGCTATCCTTCCATCAACGCACAGTAAAAAACACAGTTGTTGTGTATTTATTTATTTTTGCGAACTACCTAAACAACACTGTGCTCAGTTAGATACAAGTATAAATTCTGTTAAGTGCATGTTAATTTTTATTTTCTTTCATTTTGGTTCAATTATTTTGACAATGTTTAAAAAATTATGCCTTTTGCCTCTTATTAGAGATGAGAGAAATCATAAGCCTCCCAGGTTGAACCTTTGTTCTTATGACATTTTAGTGTAGAATATATACTGCTAGAATCTAAACAAAATCTAGCAAGGAAATTCTTAACGTGGATATCTCTAAAATTTTTCTCATTACATGCATAATGAAAACAAATTCAAAAGAATTTATTCCCTCATAAGCTACATCTGCGTCTCCACATTGAGTAATTGTAGCATCATCTTCAATGATATTCAGTAAAATTTCACAAGTTTCACTAAACATATTCATCAAGCTAGAAATAGATTTTAGACGAGAACTCCAATGAATATCTCCGGGCCTTTGTAAATCACCAACTTGATTAAGCCCTCTCCCACTTTCAATTTCACCAATGAAAAGTAAATAAGCAATATTTGCAGCATGAGCAACTTTTAATTGGTCATTAGCTTACATGAGCACCAACGAAATTAATCTAAATATATCCGTACCTAAAAATATTAAGGATTATAGTATTATAGTAGCACCAATTGCTTCACTAATAAGTTGAATATATTTCAAAATAATCACTTTAGTAATATAGAACCTATAAAGTATATATAAAAAAATTATTACAATAAACAAATAAACAATTGAGAATCTAGTATATTAATCTAAATATGGTTGTGACTAAAATAATTAAAGAAAATTTTTAATAACCATTAATGAAAGAAGAATGGTGAGGAAGACAACTAATCTAATATTTTAATTATTGAAAAAAGAAAATTGGGAGTTGTCAAGATTCAATCGATATATACAATGAAAAAATTAATAAATTAATAATGTAAACAATATAATAAAAGTTAATAAATTACTAATTTTTTAAGAAAATACATATTATGTTGTCGAATAAGAAAAATCCGGATAAAAAAAGAATTTTTTTTATTTGGTATTTTGAATAAAATAAGAGTTAAGGGAAAGAGAAAAAGAACGAATTTAGTAACGATGAAAAGCAATTAGATCAAATTAAATAAATATTAAAGGTTTAATTATGCCTTATGGAAAACTAATGATAAAGATTAAAAAATATTAAAGAGGGTTGGGTTTGTCTTACTCTAGTATATTGAAAAAAAAAAGAAGCCATGCGTGTTTTGTCTCAAGTGGCGGCTGCTATTTTTGCTGTCCTTTTATTTTAAAGTGTAAACGTGTAATATTATTATATTAGTGTAGGGTAGTGTAGGGATAGGAAGTAGGAACCGTGCATTAAAAACAAAAGTTGTGAATGAAAGAATTGGAATGAGAGTCTGAGAATTATAATGATAATTTAAATTTAATTGTTGTATTTGATATTTTATTATTGAGAATCAGAATGAAATATTAAAATAACAATTATTATATTTGATATAGACATATAAAAATCGAAATAATATTATATATTTATTATTGTATCTTTTAATATTCTTAATAAATTTTTTCATAAAACAATTAAATTTTTTTAAAAAAATATACGAAGATTTTTTTATTTTTTATTTTTTAAATAAGCTAATTGTTTTATCCACACTTTTTTGGTACATTATATATATTGTTTTCCTCTAAGATTGGATTTTTAGCAATAAACCTTCCTAAGAATTAATTCTCCTTCTTCCAAGAAAAATAAAATATCAAGACTTCCAAGAAAATTTTGAGGTCCCTCTCTTTGTTGTCATTGAACTTGTCAAATGGGAGGTCCCTCTCTTTGTTGTAGCCCTCAAGATTCAGGACGGGTACTTGATTAGTTTATAGTTAATGAGGAACATAAATTCAAATGAAACAGAACACAGTTTACATATTGTAAGTCCTTTTAGCAACTGAAAAACAAAGTGGAAAGAGAGCCTTCTCAATTATGTCACGTGGAAGTTTTGTTTCATTTTAGTAAATGAGTGGATAGTGTTGCTGTTGTCTGGTAAAGCAAGCTTAGCTTCAAACAAAAAATCCGATGCCTTGCTCAAATGGAAAGATAATCTTGGAAAGTCATCCATTCTCCAGTCATGGATCACCCAGCAAATGCCAATTCCAAAGCTATATGTCCATGCTAGTAAGTAAAATTAATATATATAGTAACGAAGAAAGTAAAATCAACCTCTTCCATGTAGATAATAAAGTCTCAATAATACAGTCAATTGTAGTAACGACTCAAAAGAAAAAAGATCTCAAAAATTAAAAAATATCAACATAATGGTACTTTTTAAATAGTTCTTGAACTATTAAAAAATCCCAAAAACAACCATATAATATTAAATTCAACTACTACTAATTTTAAATTTTAATTAATAGACCCAATCTCGATGCGTGCAAACATGACCTTGTAATCATCCGAAATACTAAAAAATACTTCAGCTTTTTTATCATCTTGACCAATAATACTTGCTCGCTTTAACCGATTCAACTAGTGAAGTGCTTCAAGGTTTGCTAAAGTTTCAAACACTTTGCTTCTTTTTTCACTCATAGCGAGATATCGATTCCTTCTCAACTTCAACTAAGCTTTTAATGGACTTTGATAACTCTATAAAATGTGCTTGTAAAGCATCAATTACTCCAAATTTCCTCTTATATATTTTTTTTCTAGCTTCGACTAAATCGGTTGCATATTGACTTATAAAAGTCTGCCTCTGTTGAGTTTGGATATGTCTCATTCGCATCTCCATTATCTATATTGTTGTTTGTTTGGTTGCTTTTTGTAATTTCTTCTTCTCCGAGCCCTCGAGCTTTGTCTCCAATAGCCCTATCTTTTGCATATATTTCACATAATTTATCAAAATGAACAAACGGCTTCATATACAATGCCGATGCTCCATCATGACTCTACACAATAATATTGTGTTAATAAATTAAACAAAAAAAGTTAATATTTAATAATAACTTGAAATAAAGAAAAAGAAAAAAAAAGAACTACAAACCTCTCCGATCCATTGCATGAATGACTAATTATATATAGAAAAAAAGAACTATACCTTTGTCCATCTTACAAAAACTAATTTATCTCCTATCACCATTTTTTTGTCATCATCCCATCCAAACCCATTGCTACTTTTTTTGAATCTCCAATATATAGCCAAGTTGTTTTTTCAATATGTTAATCTTTGACTCAATATGTGGTTTGCCTTTAATACTACATCCCGATAGTTGTTCTTCCATAAGCTTCTCAACATGAGTATAATATTCATTTTTATAACTAGTATCAACCTTCCAATTGGTGCTAGCTAATTCCAAAAGGATATCAACTAACATCAATTCTTCTTCGCTATTCCCGTTTCTTTTATGCTATCCCTTCCTCGTGCGGCTGATTTATGCTATAAATTAACTTGCTCCACTTCTGAATTTTCCATCAAAGTAACAAAAAAATTACATAAGAAAATATATATGCAAAGCAATTACATACTGTCTCCATAACATTTGAAATAAACAATATCCATACCACCAATCTAATAATATAATTGTTAATATATTTATAGATGAAAGCATAACTAAAAAATCAAATGAAATAATATCTCCATACAAAATAAAAACAATAAGAAAACTATGAATATCGTTCACTTTATCTTCTTGCTCTTCACGAATCATACATTATCCTACGTAGATTATCCCTCCAAGTAGTCCATTGATTTGTTGTCTCAATAGTAGCAATATGATTTATGTTACCACTATTATCTTCTACTACGGTAGTTAAATATTGCTCCATTGGGTTAATTCTCATTTATTTTCGAAAGAGATTGTGAATATAACTACACACTAATATGACGTCAACTTGTGTATCAATAGGATAATAAGTTGGATATCTAAGTGTTTTCCATCGTAACTTTAACAACTCAAATGTCCTCTCAATCACATTTCTTGTCTGCGGAATGTTTCATATTAAAAAGCTCTTTTGTTGTATTTGGTTGATGTCCCGTTCTCCATTCATTAAGGTGGTAACACCGACCTTTGTAAAGGGCAAGAAATCCCTCACAATTTTTATATCCAACATAAAAAAGATAATAGAAACCTAATAAATAAATAATTAAAAATTAGAATATTAAATAGTAATTAGTATATTATGTAAGGTTAATATATAATATAACTCACCCTTAGGAACTTTCAATCCATTTCTCCTAGTTAAAGCATCTCAAAGCACTTTTCCATTAGCATATGAACTTTCCCAACCAAGCAAAACATGTATAAATTGCATATCTTAAGAACATGCACCTAGGACATTTGTTACAATTTCATTCTTTCTTATGCGATATCATGGCTTGTCAAGTACTCGGTACATTTACTCTAATGTATGTGCCATCTAAAGCTCCTAAGCAATTCTAAAATAAACATAAAACTAAAATTAAATTAATGATGATTTACTTTAATTATTAAATAACATTATGAACACAAGACACCCACCTCAAACCACTTCCATCTCTCATCATTGCAATTGACGAGTAATTGATTTAAGGGTTTTCAGTAAAACCCTCCAAAGTTTTAATACTACCTTTAACACTCTAAGAAAATGTATGCTTATTGTCTCTCCCGATCATTGAAAATCATATTCAATTTCTCAATTTTTCTCCTTAAATGTAATAAGATGCAAATTATTGCTACTATTTCCTCAACATTCATATTTCTATGTCACTTAGTCCTTCAATATCTCAAACCAATGAACAAAGAAAATTAAAAGTATGCCTATCCATTCTAAGTTGTTCAATGCATGCAATGTCACTAGCAACAATCATGCCATTGAGGTCTTGAATGCGAGCTATTGGATTATGTCTATTAGGTTCTTTTATCAACCTTAACATAAGCCTCCAAATGAAATAGATTA